TAATATTTAGTATATTTAGGAGAATCTAAACTTTTAAAATGAGCATATAAAAATCAGTTTTGAATTTGAAACGAAGAGTCAATTTGCCTTGGGAAAGCAATAATTACTCTTGGAGTAAGCGGATTGCGATCCGCTAGCTCATATTTGGTTCTTGTAAAGAACGAAAGCTCGGTGACCTAAAGTACGCTTCCTCAAGCGCTTAGCTACGGCAGCCCCGCTGCAAGTTTATGACCATTCGTCCTTGATTTCTGTCAGATCATCTGATGTCATGATAGACGGGTAGCAGATGTTGTATTTTAAGTGCTCGGTAAAATTCGCTAGATGTGTCACTCCTGAAAGAAAAGCATTCAAGTACCGATAACCTGGGAGGGTCCCCTTGGTAAAGCACACGCACCCACCCTACGTGCGTCAGTTAGTGCGGACCATAAACTTGACACTTTCTCTATGTAACACGATTATATTTTACACGGCTACACTCATATATCCTGGAGTTTGCTCAGTTTTACCAAATCAGATTCTGAGACTTTTCATATCGTTAGCTCTTGTCATAGCTTCCACGGTCGACTACAGATCACTAGTAGATCGCTTATCTAAGCCCTCGCCACCTTGAAGTAACATTTGAGGTATAGACTACAATCCATATCGCCCTTTTTAGTTGTCCAGCTTACTTTTTAAATATTAAACGAACTGTTTTATATCGCGAAGATACTCGCACTTCGAGCTTCTCATCGCCCAAAATCGTTGCGATGCCTCCCCAGCCTTGCCAAGAAGTTGTTATTTGCATCTTCTACGCCCATTGCAAAAGAAAACAAATAGTTCATTGCAACAGCTCACATAATACCAATAGCCCAAGAGTACAATTTAAGCAAATAGTATTCTTAAGATCTCTCGCCTGACACCAGATTGATTTACTGAGCGCTCCGCCAAGAACTCTCCGTTTACAAATTCGAATTTGAATATTTCTTATAAATATATTTGTTTGGGAGTCTTGCATCATCAATGCTTCCTTTCAGTTTTCTTGTTTTACCTCTCAGTCAAATCAGTATCACTCCAGAAACACAAATTGTCTAAGAATATTGGATATTACGAATTTCTTTTCCTGCTCAGCGCTCGACACACTCGGCTTGCCGACAATCACAAAGCTTCAGCTATAATATTGGCGATATACATCTTAGAATTGTAGGTTTTGGTATTGCACAAAATATCAGCGCAATGCCTGTCCGTTTCAATCTCAGCTGAGCGATACATAGGGTCGGGCTTCCACGCAAAGTTGTCCGATTAATTCCTTGACGGAACGTTGAGTCTCAGAAACGATCGTATCAAAATAATGACCAGAAGACGCAGTTAGAAATGCATTAGCGTATAACATTATACGTTCGAGTCTGTGCAATTTGCATCCCCAGAAACCATCTACGAAGGTCCATCGCCATTTAATGATATCTAACCAACACGTTGTAGGAGATCTACCCATCAACATCGGCACGCTGAATGCGAGACCAGTATCCATGTTCGCCTTGACACCCTGGAGCATTTCGGCCCGTCGAGCGATATCTTCCCAATTACAATTTTTATAGCATCATGATTCCCGTGTTCGGATCAACTAATCTACGATGTATTTCAAGACCAGAATTTCGATCCATAGGTAGCTCGCAGTCTAGTTGCAGAATGATTTGGCCGTGAACCGTTTCATACCTTGAACAGAGATTATTCTTGTCGCAAAAATGCTCCCAAAGTAGGTTTCTTACACCACCATATTCAACCTGGCAGCGATGATTTTTGTTGCCCAACGTTGGACCTAAACATTAGCCTTAGTCTCCCCATTGAATGTTAATTCTCAGACTCTGATCACAAATTGAGCTTGTTGAACAACACCACACTCCAAAAGAACCCTAACTAGACTTGTTACAGTTTCTTCCATCAAACTACAAAAAATCAGCGTTTATTGCCTAACAATCAAAACATTTGACAAATTGGATTTGTACAACATTACCCGTCGGGAAACGGGCATCTTTGAATGATATGATGATCTTTGACTCAGATAGTGCTTGCGATCGGATGCCCGAACATTCACCCGACTCTTATGAGTCTTTTAATTTATTATTTTTGATGTGATTCCTCTAATCTCTAAATAAATTCGTAAGACCTTTCAATAATGTATCTTGACTGATAACTTGTGCTTTCAATCAACGCAGTCACCAATCGATACACAGCGACTGATCGACGATGTTTAAACATCGGAAAACGTTGTTGGGCTCAGAATCTGTCAAAATTTTTAAGAACTTCCAATTGCACTCGGTAATGAAATCGACAAGTAAGTGTTTAAATTGACCATTTACATAGTCTACATGCTTAGTGCCTATCGATAACAAATACGACGTCTGGTGCAGCTTGTTCGCCTCCTCGCTTCCTGTCAATGTCTTGACCGTCACTCGCACTTGGATTAGGCATATCAGTACTTACCGGTAATATGCAGTACCCATTTTTGCGTAAACAAGCATCCGTTGTCTTTCATAATAGAGTGAGAAACATAGTAAGACAGCCCAAGAAATTCGCCCAAGTTCCAAGGCTGGGTCTGTCTGAAAGGAAGCCTCCGACACTCATTACGTTGGCGCGAATTCTGTCACATTAAACGCTCAGCCTTATAGTTTTAGGCTCTTGATGCAGACGATCTAATAAAGCCATCAGATGTCTTGTAATTACACTGGATAAGGCAGAGCTCTAACAACGACAGGGTGTTTATCCAGGTACAAAGTAAAGTGGGGCGAGATTGTCGATTTGTATCCTCAGCATCATCTCCTGTGACATGCTAGACATTTTCGTGCATACCGATCGTATCTTACATGTGGCATGCGCTTCAATCAATGCTGGATATTCCACCACATAAAACGTTGAAGAGATGTACGGCTACAAAACTCAACGCATCGATATTTTACAATGCTGACAGGTATATTGTTTTTTTCTTTCATTGATAAGCCCTGTCGAGAACATGTAGTGAAGAGTAGACTTGAATTCTCACTAACATCTTTTCGCCTCGTCAAAAAGTTACTCTTGAGTTTGAGAGCAAAAAAGTCGCGTCAAGACATGTCCTGTGTTGCTGAGCATATACATAGCACTGAACATCCGTACTCTCATTCAGCCACCAAAATGTAACGTGGAAAATAATTCTGTTTTATTTTGTGCAACGGTTTCCATATAACTTTGTACAATATTCAAGTGATATATATCAGAGCACTACAGTTGATAAAATCGTATGCTGGATCGTAGTTAGGCAAGCAGCATGCTTAGATCACAAAGTGCTGCTTTTTATCTCGTCCGTAGCCCTAAAGTCTTCGCATTTAAATTTGGCGCATGACTTGTATCGTATAAAGTTTTGAGAGTTAGAATGTTTTCAGTGTCGTCAAGTTCTCAAGTGCAGTTATAACATACAACAACGTAACGTCTTGATGCTTGGAGAGTAATTGCAGCCAATCGCGATTCCTTATCTTAATTACGTGTATCTAATGAAATGGCTTCGTTTTGTTGTGTCACGCATCTCACCCATTGCGATTGGGCGTTTTGCTCTACTGCTTCTTGATTGGTTATTATTACACGCATCCTATAATTCTAATGGCACAAATTAAGTGTACATCTTTCTGTTCTTTTCGTAGTCAGACACCACTTATTCCAAGTCACAGCATTGATTTTGCAATCACTTCACCCTTCATTCATAAAACAACCAACTAATTAACTAAGATAACTGAAAGCTCACTTATTGAATCGCCACGACACAAAAGAGTTTCGTCATGGCTCCACAACCGCAGTCCGTTCGGCCCATGGTCGTGGAGTCTCAATATTTAAATGTTCACAGATGTGGCATCACTTTATCCCCAGTCAAGCGTGGCTCACGTGATATTATCGATACACTTAAGCACCAGTGTGATTGCGCGCCCCGATCTGTCTCAATGGGTGAATATGTAATAAGTCCACGCGTCTCATCAGGCCAAGTGCAGGGATTTTCCAAGGAGTCAAGCCATTTGTTAGCTGAATCCGATCATGTGATTGATTTACATACCACAAAGACAATAAATACAGGACAGAAGGAGCAACCGCGAAGTTCACTCTGGGGTTCCACGTTCACGCTTACTAACACGATTTTGGGTTCGGGTACACTTGCTGTGCCGTTTGCTATGGCTTCTAGTGGCTGGTTACTCGGTAACGTCATCATGTTAAGTATTGCGATGGTTACACGCTACTCGGTGCATCTGCTTTTGTCAGCAAGCGACCGAGCCGGCAAGAATTGCGCCAAAACTTATGAAAGTCTCGGGCACTATACGATGGGCGCGTTTGGTACTAGATTGGCTGAATTTACTTTTATTTTTGGAGGATTCGGGACGCTAGTAAGTTACTTGATCTTCGTTACAGATTTGTGTGCTGCTGTGCTAGCTGTATCAATGAATGACAAGTGGATTATTACAGTCACGCTTGTGGCGAGTATCGTATTTCCACTCTCGCTGAGTCGTCGAATTGGCAAACTGTGGCTTGCGTCTGTACTTGCTATTTTATCGATTGGTTATGTCGTGTCATTCGTTCTTGTGGCATTTGTTACTGTGTATTATACGAATGAAGCGTCTATTGCGTCGGATGTGCAGGCCATCCGTCTTGAATCGGGTAGTGTCTATACAGTCACGTTGCTTATCTCTGCCTTTGCATGTCACAATACAGCGTTGCCGGTATATGAGGAATTGAAAGATCGCTCACTACCAAGGATGAATCGTGCTGTAATTGGCGCTATAAGCGTCTCATATGCGCTGTATGAAGTCATTTCGCTCTGCGGATATTTACTCTTTGGATCCGAGACTCAAGACAATATTCTCCTTAATTTTTCACCTTCATATGTGGCCCACCACAAGTCAATCTCGGTTCCCATTTTGATTGGTCAATTATGTATGGCTCTGGCGTTAATTCTCACTACACCAATTGCAATGTGGCCTTTTCGTTCATGTGTTTTGAGTGTTTATTTACGTGTGAGAAATGGTAAACAAACTCCCAGTCATGAAGCAACGTACAAAGAGTACGTGAGTGTTACAGTGCTGAGCTTGATTTTAATAGTTACATGCAGCATCTTTGTGCCGTCTGTCAAGATTCCTTTAAGTATTGTGGGCTCTGTTTCAGGATCACTATTAATTTTCATCATGCCGGCCTTGTTTTACCTACTGCAGTCGTCAGATCCTATACTTTCTCATAAGCATGCAGGCCCATTGCTTATGCTCTGTGCAGGTGTTGTCATCGGGTTTTTTGGTCTGTCGTTGACACTTTTCAAGCTTTACCATGAATATCATTTTGGATTTTTTGGGGTTAGACAATAATTATACTAAGAAATATAGTTTTATTCTCTATGTACATTAAAAATGACATTTCAGGAATCCACATTATAGGTAGAAAACTGCCGAATTTGTTTTACCATGAAAATAACAAAGTGTGTTGCATTAACTTGTCAAGTCACATGACAATAATTATAAAAATTCGAAAGATTAATTGTGCATTCTTGTCAATAGCGTGGTTTCGGACTCATGTATTCTTCGCCATACAATGTAGTTAGAAAATAGTGTGGATCATGCACTGTGTTAAATGGCAAGCCATTAATTGATACTTGCGAAAACGGTTCTATGAATTGGGCTGGAATAGTGTTTGATCCAAACATCTCCAAACTCCAATCTGTCTCGTTAAGTTTTTCCATTGCGTACAGATCAACGTATGGGACTAGATAATCTTGTGCGATTGACATTTGTGAATCATACAAAATGGAAGCAAGAGGGTGTGTTGGGGCCACACAAACACGCCAAATACCAAAAAAGAAAAAGTGATAGCCCTTGGATACTAATGCTTGACCCAATTCGTTGTTTCTATCGAGGTGTCCAATATATGCGATGTCAGTGTCTTCCGTAAAAGGGATCATGGATTGATTACGAACTGCACCAAGAAGTGAGCCATAGACAACAAGAGGGGTTTTATTAAATGCATGGAGCTCCTCATAAACTTCGACAAGAAGCATGTGAAGTACGCTGGCGTAACAACGAGACTGACTTGTGTGCTGAGTAAGAAGATCCATTCGATCGGCACCTGTGCAAAATGGCGAGTCTTTTCGCCCTGAAATTGGTAGACAGTGTTTGTAGCCGATGTCATCTGAAACACTATTGTTGCATAACTCAGCATGGTGACTTTTGAACCTTGGTGACTCGAATTTACTATCTTTCAAAAGGGTATAATAGCGATGATGCGAATGATACTCAACTGCGCTCACATTAACCGTGCGCGGACTACAGAACGATCCTTTCTGGCTATTATTGCCGATCGTATTCTCGTGTTCATCATTTGCAAGCACATCGCTATCACTTGGTAAAAAGTATCTTGGGTGGTTTGACAGAATATTCATCTTCATCGCGATGTCGCAAGCTACCACTGTAGCTAACAGTAATGTCACAAATAGAAGCGTCATGCCTCGTGAAAATACCTTGATCGCTTGTACGCCATCCACTGGTCCATTGGAATCGTTTTTGTTTGGAGCCATTCCTTAAGTCAGTATCGTATCAAAGCTACACAAGCTCTTGCAGAACGAGAAGTGGGTCGTACATCAAGACAAACATATTTTTGTTGAATATAAAAGAATTCAAGCTTGTGAGGTGCAAAGAAAAAAAAACGCCAGACTGAGCTTAGCTGACGTGCGTGAGGAGTAACTGCATTAGCACGGCAAGATTATTCGTTTTATGGTGCTGTGTTCTTTTCGAATTCAGAAACTTTTCGGTTTCATCTTGAGATTCAATGAGTCAGATCCTAAGATGAAGTGGCTATTCATGAAGCATTCGAGATTTCTATGCTTGTCAAATTTGTCATTACACGTAGTCGTCTGATATAAAACAAACACGAGCAACTTCCTGTTCGCAGTGCGCTAGCCGATTGCTGCCTGAAGATGACGTCAGATTATGAGCAAATGATAACATTTTTTAGCAATATATGCATTTAAAGCAAAATAATATTTCCAGCATGCATTTTTATGTCATGGGTCGCTCAATGTCTAAATTTCGACAGAGATATCATGATGTCTTTGCTTCCTGGTGTCACGTATAAATCATCTAGGCTTGAGATCGTTTCCACATTTATTTTGTTTTTCACGTGCATGCAGCATTCAATAGTATTCTAAGAAATTCGTCGCTGTGTATAAAAGCATATAATGAAGTTTAGAGTTACAATAACTACGATGTAGTATCACACGTTGGAAATGAGTGGACCCCAACACGGTGTAAATTAGATATGTTGTGCTCTGAGATTTAACCAGTTCGAAACTATGTTATGAATAGAGCATTTTGAACCCGTCTTGCATGCCCTGGGACAAAGAGGAAAGTGTTCCAACCTTACACTGGATCAGTCTAAACGACTCAGGTGTAGATTGACTAATCGTGCTACCAAGTGCAGCGGGGCTGCCGTAGCTTTGCGCTTTAAGAAAGCGAAATTTGGGTACCGATTTTACATTCTTCGCAAGAACCAGTACGAGAGTAGCGGATTGCAAATTGCTACCTCCAAGAGTAGTTAGAATTTTAATTCAAGGCTAAAAAACTTTTCTGTTTGAAATGAAAACTGTATTTTATTTGTTTTATCTGCAGCAAAAGCCGCCTAATTTTAAATGTATAGATTTTTCTAGATAATATCTAAATACATGCATAAGTACTGGCTACCCAGCCACGTAGCGTATTCTTATTTGGGTGCAGTCACACCATGCCCATTTCGTTTGACACACACCCCTGTTACCAGGTACGTGTACTTCCGTTACAGGTCGCTTTTTATAAGATTTGCCTGCTTATGCGCTGTGCGTATTTGGCTCAATTCAAATAAGCTACGGCAGCATCGCCTATGGTTCTGAAGGACATCCTTCCTAGAAATTGGCGTCTGTACCGGAATGGTGGCAGCGTTTAGCTTATTGTAAGCGTGAACGATAGCTTCCGGACACATAGCGTGGCTGTCGAATGGAGAACTTTGCCCTCACGCACCATTCCTGCGTTGTGCTTTGCACGGAAGTAGGCGTAAATGACGTCATACTGCTCCCTTGGCAGGATCCATTAGCGTTTTATGCAGTATTTGATTCCTGGAACCAGGTGCGCACATCGGTTCGGAGGTTGGACCGACAGCGGGCCTTTGTAGACGACGTTTTGAACTTTTTCCACCACAAGATAGTACGGATCCGAGGGATTCAATAGGATCGACGATCCACTTCGTGCTTTCAGCACCCCTTGGTGTCCTCCAAGATGGCTTCATCCAGAAGCGACGACGAGTGAGTCTCCTCTTTC